GTAATTATCTAAACCAGAGCCACAGCTTTTAATTCTCAGAGCTATGTTTACACTGTGTTCTCGCTCATTTTCGCACCTTTCCCAGACCATTGCTCAGTTAAGTCCACTCCATAAATTACTCCTTAGGCACATGTAAGTTCTCCTTAGCCCTTTTGACGTTTTTGTTTCAATTCTCTGAATAAATCTCCAGTCTTTGAAAGATTTTGAAAGTTTTCTGAAAAATCTCTAGAAAAGTCTCCATCTATTTTTGCTATTGTAATGTTTCATACTATTTTTAAAAATTATTTCAATGCCAGACATGGTGGTACATGCCAGCACTCCGGTGGTAGAGGCAAGAGGATCACAAGTTCCAGGCTAGCCTGTGCTACGTAGGGAAAACCTGTCTCAAAAACCCAAGGGCTGTGGGTAGAGCTCAGTGATAGAGTGCAAAGCCTTGGGTTTAATCCCCAGCACTGCAAAAAAGAAAACATTATTCTACATGAAATACCGCTTTAAAAGAATTAGTGGGCTATAGCCTCAAGAATTTAATCACAATGTATAGACTGATTTCCAAGAGTTTCAAAGTTCAGTGAACTTTGGGAATTTAATCCACTTGTAAATCGCTGGTTAGCTGTGTTAGAATTTAAAATGACCTTTTCAAATTGGAACAAAAAGGAACTCACAAAATAATAGTGGCTCACATTTTTATAGTTATTTATGGTTTATAAAGTGGGTTTGTATCATCATTTCATTTGGCCTGCCAACAGCTCTGAGGTCAGCAGGAGGTTTCCCACAGCACAGAAGAGAAGCAGGCCTCGTAGGCTGGAGGTTACACACAGAGCCTACCGGGTAGTAGAACAAGGGCTCATACACAAGTTGTCAAACTCAAAACCCAGTTTTTTCTCTCTACCATGTCCCCCCTGAGGCTCACACACAAACAAGCTGAACAAACTACTGATGCTCTTTGCAAAGACAGTGTTCATTTCAACCTGCCTGTGAAGGCAATAGAGAAAGTATAACCTGGCCAGGACGGCACTGGAGGCCCTTCCCAGGACCCTTCTTGCCTCTGTGCCTTAGCACAAAGTGTTGCCAATTTCATAATTTTCTAAGTAAACTGGTGGCTCAGACAAAATGGAAAACCAGACCTGATCCACGTGGGGAAAGAGGGGTGTCCAGAAGGACAATTGGGCCTGAATTTCACTTTATGAAGAGACTTAAATTCAGGCATTTGATGTTGTCCATAAGTGAATTAAGCTACACTATCAGGATGAAGGACTGACATTTTTTTTAATATAACTTTAAACTTAAATCCCATTACTGGACCATTCTGGCTATGGCAATATATTTTCTACATCCTATAATTGTCCTAAAAGGAGCATACTGATACTGTGTTCTATTTTTGTATGTTAAAACTGTTCATTGCCACTTTTCTCACTCTTTTTTGGCATATCTTCACATTTTAGTACACAGAGATTTCAAAAATTGGAAGCGACCCAAACTATTGCCCATTTTTTAGCAGTCCTCTGTTTCTCCTCTTCCTAGGTGGTTTTGTTTTTGAGGATCTTGGTTTATTATTACTATCTCAGTCGTGTTCACACCATTATTGACTTGGTACCTTCCTATCCCTGGGATCGCTGTCTGGCGCTGGAAGGTGCTCAGGAAAGGCATGTCAAATGGAGTAGAAGAACTCAAAAGCCAGGAAACCGGGTTTTGACTTCGAGTCTATTGGCGAAACACTCGTTGCCTTGGAACAGTGGCCATCCGAGGTGGAGTGGGCTGAGTGGCGAGGGTTAGCCATGGCTAGCTGAGGGCAAGCGAAACTGACCACCGCCTTGGTGGGCCTACGGCACCGGAACCCAAGCGTGTGGACCGGGAAGTGGGTCCTCCAGACCCAGCGGGTAGGCCGCGAGGGCATGCGGAAGGCAGGGCGCGGCGCGGACGTGTGCGGGACACGGGACACCGGCCGGCGGCCCAGGAGGCAGGCGTGCTCGGGTCTATTCCGGGAGCGGCGGGAGGGGCAGGCGGGCGGGGCGGGGGCGGGGGCGCCCGGCGAGCATCCTGTCTGGGGGAGGGGACGCGCCGAGAGCGCTGGCCGCCGCGCGCCAGCCACCGCCAGCCGCGCCGGAGCTACTGCGCCTTGCGCTCCGTGCCGGGAAAATCGCGGCCGGAGCCATGGACCGAGGCCGGGGTAAGAACAGCCGCGTCGCCCGCACTTGTTGCTGCGTGGGTGGGGAAGGGAGACGTGGGCGATCGAAGGCGGGAGAGGAGCTGGAGGAGGAGGAAGAGAGGTGGGCGATGGGGCGGGGGATGGGGGACCGTCGGAGGGGACAGTGCTGGGTGCACAGGTGCCTTCTGCAGTTGGAGCAGCCCAGTGCGTGTCAGCCGCTCACGTCCAGCGGCTGAGTAGCCTCCTGTGTGTGAAACTGGAGCTTTTCATACACTCTAATTCCTAACTTTATAAAAGATCCCCCAACAGATTCCTGACGACAGCGAGCTCCTCCCACTCTACTGCACGCAGGAAAGGCATTATAAGGTTTACAGACTACACTCCCCAAACACCCCACATGTGAAATCCCAGCTGTGGCCCTGAGGAGAAGCCCCAGGAGACCAAAATTTGCAGCTGCCTGGGGCTTTGGGAGAAGGCGGGGCTGTGTGAGCGCGCCTGCGCGCGTGCTTGTGTGCGCTGGGTAGAAGTTTGGCAGAAGTGGTGGGGACCACCAAAATGGGGATTGACCAGCACAGACAGCGGCATTGATGGGGGCTCGGGGTGGGAAAGCGCTCATCCTAAGTAAATATCTGGGCATTGCAATGGGCAAGTATGCGTGGAGAAGTGACCTGCGTGGGCATAGTGTCAGTGTCAAAGACTGGAATCCCGAACATCTGGGTCCTAGTCCGCATCTCTGATCCAAAGAACAGGTGGGAAGGCAATTGGTAAACTGAGGAGTAGGGCTGCCCTCTTGAGAAGCGTTGTTGTTGCTGTTGTTAATGGAAAATTCCTCCCCCTCCCACAATCATCTACACCCTTTCCCCGCCTCTGCCTGTTGTCTGTGCTGTGACCCTCAGGAGTGACCAGGAGGGTGGAAGTACTTAGGAGGCACCGGGTCAAGGACCTGAGTGTTAAGCAGATGTGGGGTCACCTCCTCCGGACTCCCACTTCAGGTAAAAACCAAGTTTAACAAGCTTAGAGGCCATAGGGGACCTCCCCTCCACTTTAGCCTCCCCAGTTACCAGTGAAGAGCAGATCAATAGAGAGGCTTCCATTTGGTTCTTCAGGAACTGAGGCCTGATTTGTAACTGACTTTAGGGCAAGAGTGCAGCCACTCACCAGGAAGTAAAAACGGAAAAAGAAGAGGCACCTCTCATGTCTCTTAGTCTCACTGTCCCAGTCTCCCACACCCCCTATTTGTCAAACACCACCTTGTCTGCTCTCTTACACAAAAATCCATCCTGCGGCCTATGAAGACTTGCAGAAAATAGACAAGGGTGACATTAATGCCCGAAGGTTTAAATGCTCTGTAACCAATGCCACCACTTCAGAAGGCAGCCTCCACCACACTTTTCCTAGGAGGCTGGACCTCCCAGGAGTCTCTGGTACTCAGGGCAATTCTTGGACTCTGATCCTTTCTTTCCACCTTACTTTCCTTCTTCTTAGCTGTCACAATGTGCCATCTGCTCTGTAGTGTTAGTTCCCCAGTGTTTCCTACTCCTGCTCAAAAGTGAACTTCCAGAGGGCAGGGAATGGAGCCAGTGACCACCTTGCTGACACAGTGCCTAACAGGTGATAGGAGCTCGCTAGTGTGGCTTAATGGGTGAGATGAAACATGCTTTATAAAAAGTGCAGCTCAAGCTAATTAATCACTACATTCATTTAAAAAAGAATCCTGTTAAAAAATAAAAAAGAATCCTGCTAAATCCTCCCATCAGTACTGTTCTTTGTGACTTACAAAAAGCCATCTCAAACTTTGGGTAAAGTGGTTGTGTGGCTAGAGCACACAAAACTAGGTTATCTAGATCCTCGGTTTTCTAACCTGGTAAATTATTGCAAACACTGTAAATTAAAGCAAATGTGATTGTATTATGAACTAGAATGCAAAATCTGTATGTATTTTTAAAATAAAACATGAGACCTAAGGAAATTATGTTAGCAGGTCTTCCTTATTGTGCTCCTGTCCCCAGGTAGGTGCTCACTCTTTCCTGTTGTCAGGGAGGTTTAAGAAATACAGGTCTCATGTCAACCTCATTCCTACCATACTGCAGGGGAAGGGTTTGTCATGCCCAAAGTACATAACAGCAATAACAACTGAAATCATCAAGATCTTACTGGGTACCAGGCTCCAGTGCTACCTGAAACTTGAGCATCAAATCCTGATTTTAAATGTGCTGTTGACTGTGGTGGCAGGTAACCTGCCCAAGCCCTAGAACAGAACTAAATGACAAATCTTTCTGCTGTAGGCCAGGGGCACCTCTAAGTGACAAGTGGGTACTATCACTAAGTCCACCTCATAGGAAAGCAGCTCTGGCCAGTGTGTTAGTGAGCCAGGGCTACCATCACATAGTCCCACAGACCGGGTGACTTCAACAACAAAGATTTATTTTCTCACAGTTCTGGATGCTGAAAGTCCAAGATCAAGATGATGTCAAGGTTAACTTCTGATGAAGCCTCTCTTCCTGGCTGGTAGGGCCATCTTCTTGCTGTGTCCTTAGGACACAGCCTCTTCTCTAGTGTCTCTTCCTTTTTTTAAATGGACACCACTCCTATCAGATTAGAATTCCATCCTTGTGACCTCATTTAACCTTAGTTACCTCCTAAAGACCCTGTCTCCAAATACAGTTACGTATGAGTTAGAAGTTCAGCATATGAATTTGTTTGGTCACTGGTAGCTCACAGCTATAATCCTAGTTACTCAGGAGGCAGAGATCAGGAGGATCTGGGTTTGAAACCAGTCCCAGGCAAATAGTTCTCAAGACCCTTCCTCAAAAAAAGAAAAAAAATACCATCACAAGATAGGGCTGGTAGAAATGTCTCAATGGTAGAGTGTCTGCCTAGCAAAAGTGAGGTCCTGAGTTCAAACCCTAGTACCACAAAAAAAAAAATTGCACCTTCCCCATGTGAAACACAGTTTTGGGGGTTGAACCCAGTGCTGCATGCATCAAAGTCCTGATTTTAAGCTTGCTGTTGACTGTCTGTGGTGGCAGGTGACCTGCCCAAGCCCTAGAATAGGACTAGATGCCACATCTTCCTGCTGTAGGCCAGTGGCACCTCTTCCATGCCTCAGCTGCACTGTTCGGATATTCTTCACAATTGCAGCATAAAAGCTCACATCAAAGTCCAGTGAGTAGAGACTGGAAACAAACCTGGGAAATAGGATTTGTCTTATCACAGGATGTATGGTTTCCCATGAGTAAAGCAGGGCTCTGATGATGCAGTAACAAACAGAAAGCACTCCTCATAGGATTCCTTCAGCAGAATTTCCTGATTCATAATGATCATTCAGAGAACCAGCCATTGGTGAGGGTGACACACAGGTAAGCCAGTGGCACAGACACTGCTTTGTACAGGGACATCCTACCTTTGGATGAGGATAAAATGTGGATTGTGAAAATAACTATTTCTTAATAGTTATATTAAATGTATGGAAATAATACTTAGCATATGAGAACCACTCAATGAATGCTGGATGTTGTAATAATTATGATCTCTTTTGTGAAACTTATCATAATAAAACTGCTTTATACAATGACCCTTACTCCCTCTACAAGCTGGTCTGACTCTGATGACACTTCTTGAGTGTCTGCTCTGATTTAAGTACTAAACTAGACAGCTTTGTGTACAAAACAATGACAAAGATGTCATCCTTATATCCTAGAGTTCCTTCATGGTGCTTGTCTCTTGGAAATCCTCTCATCTCAATCATTGGATCACCAACTGACATTTCTAACTGATTAAATACTGATTTATTTGCCAGCATGTCCATTTTCTCTTATTCTGTCTCCTTATGCCTACTGTGATTATATCATCACAATGTTTCTTTTGGGAACGTCCCAGTCTTCTTGAACCATCTTTACTTTAAAGTCTTTGACTTAATTTTCTTTGGTTTTATAAGGTTGCCCTCTTAATGTCCAAGGTTATGTCATACCTCTCCAGCTTATTGCCACTTTCCAACTAGTTCTTTTTCAATCAGCTGAATTCAGCCCAAAATGGGAGCTTCTTTTGCTGCATTCTGTGTTCTTTGGGAGATCATGTTGTTCACTGGGCAACTAAAGAAGTAAAATACCCTGGTTTTTTTCATTGAACAAGATCCTTCTTATTCCAGAGATGGTGGAAGAATCCATTCTGATGTCTTGCCTCTGCTGGGTCAGTTGTGAGATCTACATTAAGAGGGCCACATTGTCCCTATAGCATACATTGGCCAAGCAGCCCAGAGCTAACTCTATGTTGAGCACCCACCAACTTCCCAAAGCTCTGAATTCCCAAACAGGCTCATGTTATCCCTGACATCCAAGTTTACACCCTACTCCTCTCAGTAATGATCCTTCTGAAAGGAACACTTATCCATATTATAATTGTCTTTTCCATCCTAAATTGTTCCAAAAGGTCATCTTTTTTTTTCTCACTGAGGTTTTTTGACAGATAACTGTGCATACTTATGGAGCACAGTGTATAATTCAAACCTGTGTGATGTATAATGATCAAATCAAGGTAACTTAATTTCTAGCTCCTAAAACATTTATAATTTCATTGTGTTGCGAACCTTTGAACTCCTCTCTTTTCTTCTTTATAAAACATATAACAAATTGTTGTGAACATGAGGTCATCTTTGCCACCCTGGGGATTCAGCAGAGCCTGAGTGTTTCAGAGAAAGGAGAGACTTGAGTTTTAAGTTTTGATTGCAGCTTTCTACCTCATGGGTAGATTATTAGTTTCTGTGAACTTCAGGCTGTTCATTAGGAAAGTCATGGGAGAAGGTAACTCGTGTAAGCTAGCACTTGAATGCTGGCCACATGCCGCAGTGGGGGAAGGAGTCCCCTGGGGTCGTAAGACTTCACCTTACTAACTTCCCTGCAGAGGCTTCTACTGGTCTCTGGGCCCTGCTTCCATTTCCTGTCCCCAGTAGCCCCCATGGTGTTTGGCTTCTCCGCTTTCATCAGGGTTTGTTCTGCCTCTCCCTCAAATATCAGTTTCAAACCCCCCCTTTCACATCATGAGCAACTTGCCAAGTAAGTTCCTCCTTCCCCACCCTCAGTCAACAACCTATCATTACTCCTTTCTCGTCTTTGGTCCAGAAACAACCCTGGTTTTGGATGTGATCAGCTTCTCATATCCATCTTACTCTTCAAAAGAAAAACAAAAACTTGCAATTAAACTAAAAAGTGCCCTTTTCTCCAGCGTGCACACACACACACACACACACACACACACACAACACTCCTAAGTACTTTCTTCCTTCCTTCCCTGGTCAAACTTCTCAAATCAATGGCCGCCACTCACAGCCTCTGATTCCTTCCCACACCCTCCTCCTTCGACCTCCTACATCCTTGCTTCCAGCCTCACGTCCTCCCTCTGCTGAAACTCCCACCTCCACAATCACATGTGGCTTCCCCTTCCATTGGCTCAAAGGCTCATCTTGTGCCTCTTCCATGTCCCATATTCTGGACTTCTCTGTCTCTTCTCTTTGCTCTCTTCTGAGTTATTCTCTATATTGTAAAGGCTTTGGAATTGAATAAGTCTAGGTGAAATTAACAACTGTCCATCTCTCCAGGAAGTTTTTATCCTTTTCCTTATCCCATCCTACTGTTGAAGGTGCTCATAGCTTCTAGGCTTCTTCTGCCCAGAGTAAGTTGGGTAACTGAGTCATTCCCTTGGTTTGTGAACAGGAAGAATGACACCCAGAATTGGGAGGCTGAAGTGCAGTAATATCTACCCAGCACACAGTACCTAGCCCATAGTAGGTGCTTACTAATTGTTATCTCCCTTCTCACACTAGCTCTCTTCCTCACTTGCTCTCTCTACCTCCTTGCTCTTTCCTCTTAGATAGCACTTGGTCTTCTTTCCCTTTGTCCCTACCCTCTTGAACCAAGGCCCTCTTGGAGGGTGGGTCTCAATTGTCATCATCAGCCATGATTGGGTTCCATTCCTGCATCACCTCCGGCCTGTGGTACATTTCCATTCCCAGATCAGCTCCACCTCCAACTGACCCAATTCTGAACTCATCTTACTCATCACCACATCAGATGAGCCTTCCTGTTTCTCCTTTTCTGTTCGCAACACAACCACGTGAGAAGCTGTTGAAGGATATAGGATAGGAAAGGTAACAGAAAGACTCTCTGGAAGGCTGTAGCAGAGGTTAACAAGAAGCCAATGTGGACTCCATCTAGGAGGAGCACACAAATGAGAACTGTTCGATGATAGATAGGAGCTGCCCAGGGGCATAATGAGGCAGATTGAGTGACCACAGATGGAGACCACATTAATGTGTAGGTAAGGACTACTGTTACCTAATTTTCTAGAGGTTTCCATAGGTATGGCCCTTTGGCACACTGTAGAGACCAAGATTTCCAGGTATGTATACCTAAGCCTAAAGCATTCCTCTTTTATTGAGCTGCACGCTGTACCATAGCTTTTGATGGGATTTGTGGATTGTCAGTGCTTGGGAAGAAGAGAGTCTGATGAAGTGAAGGATAATTATGAAAGCTATCGATTTGCTCAGGCTAGTCCATTCAGTGGTTTTTTGTTGTTTGCAATATGCAAGCCTCAGTCCTAGTGGTGGCCCTCCTGGCCTGTGATGTCTGCTGTCTGCCCACTTCTCCAGTTCACTTTGAGCCCTTGCCTATCTCTTGCTGTGGGTTCTCCTCACACTGGCCTGGCTTCCTCGGCCTCCAGTGCTCTATGACTTTACCTGGTTCACCTTTGCTCATCCTCACTCTCTGCTCATCCTCACTCTCTGCTCAAACATTTCTTCCTCAGGGCAGTGTTTCCTAATTTCCCCAGTTACAGATGCTCTGTACTTCTCACTGGCCGCCATTTTCACAATTACAGTTAGCTGTGGGATTGAATAATGTGCGCTCTGTGAAGACACAGCCCTTCTTACCTTGTTCATAGTCCCAGCACCTAGCGCTATGCTTGGCACGTAGTAGGTGCTTAGCAAATAAATTTCTGTCAAGATGGTGAGTAAATAAAAGTGAGAATATGCAGTTCGCAGAGTGGAAGTTGGCAATAGCCCCTTTCAGTACCAGGATTTTCCATATCGATGAGTCTCATTTTAGGGACAGAAATGTAAACTCTATCATTATCTATCATTTCCTTTGCCTTCATCCTTTGTATAATCAAACCCCAAATCCTGTTGACTATTATTGGGAAATGGCTTCTTCTCCTATATCCTGTTGCTTCCTACAGGGGCTTCCTGTTTCTACTCTCGTCTTCTCCAGCCTGCCTTGAGGACCACTCCCTATTTGTCTAAAGCTCGGTTCTCAAATCTCGCTGGGCTCTGAATCATGCCCTGTGGAGCCTACTGAAAATACACCCCAGAGATCTGATCAGTGGGTCTGGAGTGGGATTTGGGGATGTGCACTTTTGCAAAGCCCCCAGGTAAGTCTATTGTCCTCACAAGAACAGTCACCACTCTTCTAAGGCACTGCTTTTGCCATGACCCTTGACCCTGCTCTAAAACCTGTCGCCTACCGTAAAGCCACCTTTCACCCTCCTAGAGTGGGGCTCTTGGATCTGGGTATATCTTCTCAAAGTAGCCTTCTGAAAGCTTGCACTGTCCCATTCTAACTTTAAAAAGCCATGCTAAATTTTTCCTATAGCCCATAATATATTTAGCTTCCACTATACCCCAAGAAAATTCTTCATGCAAAATGGATCCAGAGATGAATGGTGTTATCTCAGGTTTCTCCCACCCTCCCCTCTGCCATGGACTCCAGATTATATAAACTCAGGCCTCCAATAAATTCCAGCACACAGTGCCAGTGGGGAAATTGGTCTGGGCATGGAAACCCAACTGCCATGCTGTAGCCCAGCTCGGCCACTCACTTCTGTGATACAAGTGCCTACATTTTTGGAGGGGTTTTTTTGGCACTGGGTTTGAACTCAGGGCTTCACACTTGCTAGGTGCTCTACTGCTTGAGCCACACCTCTAACCTATTTTGCTCTGGTTGTTTAAGATATATGGTCTCACTTCATGCTCAGGCTGTCCTGAACCACAATCTTCCTATTTCATACTTCTGCAGTAGCTGGGGTCCCTTTTGCTTGGGTTGGCCTGGAACCATGATCCTCCTGATCTCAGCCTCCTGTGTAACTGGGATAATGTGCATGTGCCCAGCTATTGGTTGAGATGGAGTCTCACAAACTTTTTGCCCCAACTGGCCTTGAGCTACAATCCTCCTGATCTCAGCCTCCCTACTAGTATTCCCCAGTGGTACTCACTTCAGCCTCGTCTCAGGGATGTTGAGCATCTGTGGAGAGCTTGGTGCAGAGCCTAGGCCACCTCTGTTTATGGGAATCATGCATGCTCTCACTCAGTAGCCATTCACTGAAAATTGCTATGGGCACAAACCCACATGATGGGGGAATTCACCACTAAAGTCCTTTGTCTGAAGATGCTTTCAGCCTGAGTTTCTCTTCTGTGGCTTCCCTCAGTCCTGGCATTGGCCCTGTGAAGTATACAGCAAAGACATTCTCCCCATTGGACAGATGCAAAAACTGAGAGTCAGAAGAATGACTATGCTATTCTACTTTCTGGTTCACCTTGAACTTTGGATTACTAGTCTCCTCCTCAGTCATGACTTTTAGAAGATTTTAGTGATGTATTTAAATATGCCTTCTATCTATAATATGAATCCTGATATCCAGGACTGTCTTCTGCATCATATTCTCAGCATCTTACATACAGAAGATGCTGAATACTTACAGTCAAATGCTACTTTGCCAAGCACTTACCATGACTCCAGTCATGAAGTAGATACTGTCATTAATCCCATTTTACAGATGAAGAAACTGAAGCCTAGAATGATGTGTGTATTCACCCAGCCCTGCCTCTCTCCAATCCTGTGTTTTTTACCATTGTTCACCTGCTTCTCCAAGAACATTGGAGGGCCATTCCCAGGTTAGTTACATGAAGGACTGGCTGGGCAGACTACAGGGACTAAGTAGGTACTGCAGGTAGAGACAGGGAGGGTGCTGAGAAGAAGAGGAGGGGACACCCTCCATCAATGAAGGGTCACAGCCCCTTTCCACTGCAGCCCCAGAGTTCTGGTGTTCAGAATTCAAGAAGCTCTCAGCCTTGTGGAATTAAGAAGGAGGCTGACCCACAAGGGCCCATGCTTATCCTCCACTCAAATTCCACTCGGGGAATCCCAGCCACACCCAAAGTGGAGTTGGAGGTGCAGAGCCGGCCAGGCGTGATTCTTCTCCCTGGCACAGCTGTCATGTTGTGGCAGGGGCAGAATGTGACACCACATTGCAGTCATTCCAGCTCTGGGGAATTCACCAGCAGCACACAGCACAGGAGGCAGGCCAGGGGCTTTTTATAGCCCTCAAAGAACCTAGAGCAAAACTGATCTCCTGAGAGAGTGGTGGAGCGCATATCTTGTCCAGGCACCATTCCCTCAACCATGTAGTCCCCAGATGCCCACAGTTCAATTTGGGGCAAGACTGATGGCTAAGTGAGCAGTGTGGAGTGGAAGAAGCCTGCTCACTGTGGAAAATTGGGGGTCCCAGACTGGCTCTTTGAATCGCCTACTTGGGCTTCAGTTTCTTCTTCTGTTGGAATGAAGAGTTATAGTGTAGGGATGAGCAGATGTTACCCCATAGGCCAAGTCCAATGCACCACCTAGTTTTGTAAATAAAGTTTATTGGCACACAGCCATGCTCATTCATTACATATTGTCTATGGCTACTTTCTCCTTAGCAGAGTGGAGTAGTTGAAAGAGACCATAGGTAGACTGCAAAGCCTAGAATAGAGTCTGGTCCTTTACAGAAAACATTGCCAAGGCCTGGATTAAGCTATAAGAGATCAAGTGCTTGCCTGGAGCGTAGGGGTGAGAGGGGTTCTGAGGGTGTGTCCAGAAAGGCAATACAAGGGTGCATATTCAAGAGTACTGTGGGCAGGACTCCAGAAGGCCATTTACCCATGTTTTCCAAATTATTTTTAGCCTCAGAATCATTTTGCAAACAAAACCTTAAGCAGTAGAGTTGCTTTGGGCACAGTGGCCATGACAGCACTGCGTACAGCCCACTCTGGCCTCCCACTCCCAAGACAGCCCTGCAGAGGCCACACTAATCCCACAGGTTTCATCAGAAGACCATTGAACCACTTCTCTAACCCTATGTGTCCAATTTTATAACCAGAGCAACTGAGGCTCACGGGCAGCATCTTGCCTAAGGTTATATGATGGAACCCTCAGCTGCCATTCCACAGAACCACTGACGTGCTCACGCGGTATCATAAGAGCATAGACACATCTCTGCAGAGGAGAAGCTGTCCACTAGCTTTGCAGGGCCTCGGTGCCATCAGCACTTGAGTGACCTGGTCAACACGTGCTGACTAGAAAGTCCACAGGGTTCATGACTAGGGCTTGGCTGGGACCCATTGCTGGTACCTGCTCATGCATTACCATGGCTGAGTCAGGGTTTGGAAGCTTTTTTTCTAAGCACACCAGGACCAAAAGAATAAGACGAAAATTAGAGGGGCTGGGCATGGCAGTACACACCTAGTAATCCCAGCTACTTGAGAGGCAGAGATCAGAAGGAGCATGGTTCAAGACCAGCCCAGGCAAAAAGTTATCAAGACCCCATCTTAAGCAATAAGCCAGGCATGGTGGTAAGCACCTGTGATCCCAGCTACTCAAAGAGGCAAAAGTAGGTGGATCTAGATCAGAGGCCAGACTGGGCATAAAACCCTCAAGACTGTGTTCGAAAAAACAACTAAAGCAAAAAAAGGGCTGGTGGAGTGGCTCAAGTGGTAAAGCACCTGCCTAGCAACAGCAATTATGAGACCTTGAGTTCAAACCTCAGTACCACAAAAAAAAAAAAAAAAATGGAAATAGAGCATACATTTTTTTTAAAAAGCTCAGACTATACTTACAATTGACATAATAATTCATTTTTTCTCCTTAAAAAAAAACCTGTTATTCAATAGAGGAAAAAAATCTCTTCAAATCAATTGCATCTTGGGCTGGAGAAGTTATGATAATTTATACGAAAGTGTTCTTTTGAAGATGGAATCAGATTTGTTCATTTGTAGAATAAATATTTCCCCTTCCTGCCCATTCTTGTTAAAGGGTGTGCTGAGGGCAGATCCCGCTGATAGGAAGCCATGGGGGATTTTTTTTTAGCTCCCCTTGAACCAAGAAGAAAACTTATCTGCTGGGTCTGTACCAGGAAGCCAGAGAGACTGGTGGCTTTTCCTGGCCTCCAGCCAGCAGCCAGGTGCAGTTCTGAAGGGTGCCAAGGACCGAGGGGGAGGGGGTGCTCAGGGCCCTTGTACCGGGGAATTTCCTAATGTAGCAAAGATAGATTTAGTCACATGTGCCTGTGACTTGAGGTTAGGTCTGGTCAGTGTCCATCAAAAAAGAATATAAAAAGGAACAGAGGGCTCAAGGGACACTTTCTAGCCAAGAACTTCAGAAACACTGCAGGACGGCATTCCAGGTGGAAAGTGGTGGAAAAGAAAGCAAGCCCAGAAGGTACTCAGGGAGCAAGGCAGGAAGTGTGTCTGCAGCCAGGGGAGCAGGGACAAGTAAAGATGCCTCCATTTTTCCACAAAGGAGAGCCAGGGCCATATTTTCCAGGTCCCTAACTGTATGTGTCATGGTCCTTAGAGGCTGTGGTGCTTGTGATGTACCTAATAATAGAGGCAGATAAGGCCAGAGCCAAGTGCCTTGACTCCTTGTTGGTGTCGGGTTGCCTGATCTACTTAACCCTCTGAATCTCACTTTTCTTCATCTAAAAATGGACACAACAGTCTCCTGTCTACCAGCGATCACAGCAGGGAAGGACAGGCACTGAGCACATGGGATGCAGACCATTTTTTAAAAAGTGAGTGGTTGGAATGTAGGTTTGTAAATGAGCGCCCTTCTTCGTAAGTCCGGAGGAATCCGGCACCTTTCCTCCAGTTCTTTGCATGTCCCTCCCCCAGGGAAGGAAGACAGGAATTAGAGATAAGCCCCAGGGAGTGCCTGGGACACGAGTCTCTTTCATCCTTGATGTCCCCACGGAAAGCTGGTGTTCTGGGCCCTAGGAGCTGTTAAGTGTGAGCCAGAAAAGGTTAGATGTGTGGCCACGTGTGCCAATTGTCAAAGCCCTCCGGGAGCTCACAGCCGAGTGGGAAGGGGGAGGTTGGATAGAGTGGCCAATTTGAAGCTGCGAAAAATACTTCAGGTGAGCGCAGACAGTCCGGGAGGAACTCACCTTGACGTTTAAAATCAGAGCCACATAAAGCTTTAAGCACACCATTTTCATAGTTAATGTACAGGACTGTTAGTGTCATGAGAAGCAGAGATGTTCATTGGGAGCGCTTAGAACTCAAGACACCCGTTTTTTTGACCTGTAACCAAGCTTTTCTTGGATCCCCAAGTATGCATGCA